TTCTGAATTTAGAACGGTGTCTGCCGCGACACAAAGCCTAGACGAAACGCCTCTGAATAACATCCGCGGACGTTGCTTTTATTTTTCAAGGGCTCTAAGATGCATGTGAATTAAACACCAGCAGATTGAAGACTAATGTGTTTAGAGCTTGAAAAAAGATCTCTCCACCTGTTTCCCGTGGTTGCAGATGCATTATATATAAGCTTAACATAAATTTAAAATACCCAATACTCATTCATTTATGATGATAAAATTAGGGCTGAATTGCGGTTGATATTGTGGAAAGTGTACGGTTGGGATCGTCCTCACAAGTGAAGTGATAAAAAAAAGTAACCGAGGAATTCAGAATTGCACATAACATCATTAAAAAGATAAATATGATTAAATTATTCAAAGAACGTTTTTTTTGAAAGAAATTTAATTAGAAATTAATTGAAATTCGAAAAAAAATTTCTACCAGACATATATCATATTTCCTTTTTATAAGTGATCCATCCATCTTTCCTATCCTGTGAGTGTCACATTCGGGCTAGAAGTTGAAGATGGTTTTTACACAAACGGGTTGCGAAATCGCTCTCATACCATCGCCAGCCTGTCTCAGTGTGTGTTGTCGCCCACACGTTGCTACTTAACCCATATTACATCCTAATTTCTCATGCTTATCTTCAAACTGTTCTCTATGTATTTCCTTTGATACTGGTAAGGGGAACTATTTTAATAACGAGAGTTTCTTTAATCGGTGATCATTTCCTTTACTCTCATTATCTTAATGTTTAATTCAAGGGCGATTCTGAAAGGCGAAAATAGATGCTAGTCACTCTTAGGCCGCGGGCTAGAGGGTTTATCCTCATCGTCCCCGTTACAACCTAACACAAGTGACAAAAGCATGTTTAACTTTAAAGACTGCAAGTATTAATCACTAGTCGTAAACTGAGCACCATGGAGTAGTAAAGGCGACAACGGTATAACAGAGTGAAAAACTCAAAGACAAAGAGCAACTGTAGACAGCTGTTTCTACAGGGCTAGATCGCGTAAGTACGGTGAAGCAGCAGGAAACACAGCAACCAGCGCGTAGTCTAATCCGAACCCTCTCAATTCCTGCATATATCGTCAGTTGTATCGTTTGAAAGAAACCACACACAGGGGAAGTTACATTTCAGTCCAAACCAGTCTTAAAGAGATCATATACCGTTCTTCGTCAAAGCCTAGCCTCCCTACCCCTATCCCCCACCCCAGTCAATCTTAGGAAGTCGTCGTTCGTATCACTTTAGCACCTGCTCACCTGAATGCATCATTGCTTCTGAACGTTTTACTAGAGCAAATCAGTATCGAAGCATTTTTAAGTCAGTTCCAAATCATTATAATCATAACAAATAACGCAGTACACGCTTGTCTGCCTATGCATTCTTATGTTGTTACTTGAGGCAAAATTTGATTGGCTGAAGGGCTGAAGGTGATGTTGCGCTTGGACAGGAAGAGTTTTAAAGACGGGTACTAATACCAATAAACTTGAATCCTTTCCACTTGCTTTACTAAACTCTCAGTGTTGATGGTTTAGAGATTCCAAATCAAATGAAAAATGAAATAAAATTTTTACTCTGTTACCGAGGCGTTTGTACGCACATGGCGGCAGTCAAAATATCAACACATAGCCATTATTGGATTCTGAAGACATTGAAGTTAACTCAAAACCAGACTCTTTTGGTCAGTGAGTAGCAACTCTACCAGTTCCTTGTATGAAGTTGGGCTTCAGATATAACATTCATATCCCATCTTATGGGGAGTTCTTGGTGCCTTTTTTTGATCTAGAAGAGAAACCCTCCAAAGGAATAGACTACTAATGCAAAATATTAAGGGAATTTAACCAAATTGCACTTTTATTACAAGTGCAGAGGTGCTTCAATAATGGCATTTTTGCTGAAGAAAAAGATACAACCTTAAAAATTAGATAACACATTTTTTTCTAATTAGTGCGCGTTACATTTTGATGCTTTGAGTTCTTAACGATCCAAATAAAAGAAGAAAATTGTTATTGCTTGGCTAAACACGTAGGGTAAGTCGTTACCAGACTATTACCAGTCGCCAATATGTATCATGTATTGATTACTTCCTGTTCCAACACAACAGACTTATAACCTCACGTATATGCACTTAAAACACCAATTACGAAGTGCAAAATCAGGCCAACTTACGTTGTTTTACCAGAATTAGGGTTGTAAAATAAAAATGGAATTTACATCACAACATTTTACGAATTGCAACATTTCTTGCCAATTTCATACCTAGAGGCTTTTTATTGAGAACAGGTAACCAATATAAAACGTCGAGAGAGGAAATGTTTCGGTTGGATACGTTAAAATTCGGCTTAAAAAAAGGTTTAAAAACCTGCAGGCCCAAAATTGGCAGGAGAAACATTGGCTGTGCATATATTTACTCAATCAAATCTCTCCTGCTTTTCACTGTTCTCTATTGGTGGCAATCTAATCGTAAGATTGCTCAACTTAATTTTGTCGAAATCTTCACTTCCTATACCCTTTAAATTTCTATTACTCTTGACATGATCTGAACGCTCTGCCCCATGCCTTTTTGCTTTGTGTCTTTCGAGCTTAGGTAGTCTTACGTCGTTGTTCTTAACAGGCCTACACTGTCTTTCAAATTTCTCCTCTAAATCGGATTTGCGTAATGGAGGAAAATTTTTCCTTTTTTCCTGTCCTTCTGTTTGCCTCAATTCCATCTCCAAAGCTTTAACATCAGAGCTCACCAGGCGAAAATTTCGTTCCATTTCTTGACTCCAAATGTGAACTCGTTTCTCAAAACTTCTAGTAAGACCACGGTTTTTTATTTTGGCGAACTTGGCGGCAAAAACAATATGCCGATTTGGTCTCATCGACAAAATGTATTGATCCCTTTGGAGAGCTTCTTGTCGAAGTCTTTCGTGCTTTTCCTGTTTTGTTTCGTTTCCTTCGTCCAAAATAGTTGGAGAAATATTCAACGTAATTCTATCTACTTGCGCCCTCAATCTCTCCAATATCCTTTCAAAGTCGGCTTGTGTTGGCTTATAGAAAGTCCGAGCAGCTTCATTTTCCAAATTTTGCTCCATTTTGAGTTTAACAGTCGCCATTGAAACTCGCGAATATTTTGCGTGTATGTTTTTTTTTCTCACGGTCGTCGTGTTCTAGCGAAGAGTGAGGATCATCGTTACGTTCATCGAACGCCGCGATCTTCTAAAATTCATTTTGGAGAGATAAAAGCTAGACGAAACGAACCTCGCTGACTCTGTTTACGTTAACTTCTCTCACCAGAATATAAGGGTTGACACGGCAACGCTAAAAAATCGGCAGGTGGATGCAAAGTTTTCAAACAATTTCAAAGTTCCTACGTTGAATAATTAAAAAACTGTTTGTTGAATGGTTGTTCTAAATAGTTACTTCATCCTAAATAGGCTACATCTATTGAAAAAAAGGACTTTGGAGCGAAACAATCCAAACTGAAGGGGAAATAATTGAAGTTGAAATGATCTCAGTGTGTATGAAAGTGAGACAATTTTCAAATTTACATACATCAGACTTAGTGAAGAAGCGACTCAAGTAAATTGGTTTTGGTTCTAGAATTGTCATTATCAATAATTGAAAGCAAACAAAAGAACTCTAACAGACAAAAGATAATGAAAAACAAGCGACACACATTGTATGCTATTCTTTTCCCGACAGATTTTCTATGAAATATTATCAAAATATTAAGCTAAATCTATCTGCACGATGTCTAAGTTTTCATGAAGTCATTTGATTCGTCCAGCTCTAATATTGGTTTTCTTAATGGTCATTGTATTTTAATACAAGATGGAAGCGCTGTTAAAACAACACTTCCATCTTCTAGTTAATTATCGAGCTTGAGACAAGAGCTTATTAATAATAGAAAAGGATAAATGGCTTTATTTAAAGGCGATAACCAACTTCGTTTGCATGTTGTGTGATAAATTTCCTCGTCAATAAATGAACGTCACCAACTGATTCGTTGGTTGAAACTTAATTGCCATGAAACAGAATCTGTCGCAAGAGGGGTTTTTAAGCAGTTGGCAAGAATCCATGATTTTGTCATTGAAAGGAGAAGATAGTCTCTCAGCAATTAGCATGGTTAACAAGGATTCATTTTGCCACCGATCAAAGATGTTATCCGGCTTCTCAGGAGGAAGTTTTATATAATGAGTCGTTTATCCAAACTTTGTCATGTTTTGTTAAGTTATTTTATCGCTGAATAAGAATTATATAAAATTAAATCAAATTATAACTCATCTGCAGCACTCTCCTCACGGGTCGCGAATCTCCAATAGGAGTCAGATGGTATCCAAGGTTTGAAAAAAAAAATACGAAAGAAGCGGGACGAGAGGGTGGGGGGGGGGGGAACCGTCCATCCGAAAGCTGACGGCGGAGGAGCATAGAGAGCTGAAGAGAACGCTAACTCTCGATGATAAGCAGGCTGAAAGATGAGTACGCCATGAATCGAAACGATCAGCCGGCGCGTAAAAGGAGTGATGTATTTCGAAGATTTTGAATGAAACTAAATTTACTACAGGCAGGAGCCCATTACTTGTGATAGGCTCTTGCTGCAGGTCAGTAGGAGCCAATTTTGAACTGAGGAGACACTATAGATAGCACAGATGTAGGTGTTTAATGATGGGCCGAGGGAGCATTCTTAAATAACCTTAATAATTCCTGACTGGTAAGTCTTGCTTTAATAATTTTTTTTTTTCAAAAAAGTGGAGAGGGGGGCTTCCCCCTTCTTCTACGGCCCTGTACTGAATCGTAGCAGGAGTGAATTGCGAGCGACATCAATTCAAAATACCTCACAAATAATCACTAAGTCAGACCTATTCATAATCGCACCTATATAGGCAGAGCAACACGAACTCTCGCTTTGATTGATATCCTAGTAAAATTAATGAACGAAATTTTAAAAATTGTTAAACACACATTCTTACTTGGAGCCATTAGCTTCATATCAACTTTATACAGAGTATTTATTAACCTCCTTTCAGGAACCACGTCGCGTGGTGAATGGTTTTGACATAAACACAAAAATATCTTGTCTTAATTCAAAATCAATTGTAAGCTTTCATACAAAAATATTAAAGAAAATCAGTTTTGTCTCATCAACTGTTAACTTCTTGACCGCAGCTTGCGATCCATAGAGTCAAATTCAAATCATGATAAATCTGCTTCTCACTATAGTTTATCATTTCCAAAACATGACAAAAGCATTGAAACTGACATTTCCTAGAATAGCTAGTACGAAACATTGTATGGCTTCTCTAAGTTTTGTATATCAAATAGACATCTTCAAAAATTGCGGGCCCTATTGCCATTTTTTTCACATTCACATAAACTAGCCTTTCTGGTATCGGCAACATGTTTAAAAACAGTAAAATGTATTCTCAAAAGCGAGGCAAAGATAGCTTATTTGCATGTAAATTTAAGAGTAAAATTCATGCCCACCATTATGAAAGACGTATGAAAAATAGAAATTGTTGTTATCAAGTTGGTGTTGTTCTATTTTGGGGGTGGGGGTCAGTCGGGAGGGGGGAGGAGGGTGATTCGGTAATATCTGAGTCAGTGATTCTATTTGTGTTGCTCATGATTGACAGTTCAACCCAGCGGCTCCTAAACAAAAAGCTTCTGAAAATTTCCGTATATTTGCTAGTAAAAAAGGGATGAGAATACACCCTTTGTAGGGTGTTTGCTCGATATAACACCACATTCTCTCGAAAATCTAAACAGGAAATCATAGCGGTCATCAGATCGCAAGAGGTGTTCAATGAGGAGATGATTCGACAACACTTCCCTCCGTCTCTTTGAATCAGAATGACTCATTACGTAAGTTAAGGGTCAGTTAACTCTCAGAATAGCGTAAAACTCTCTGAAAAACTTGCATTTAAAGTTCCGTGAGGCGAATGATTCATGCTCCCTGCTAAACTCTCTGTGTCGATGGACGCTGTGTCATAGTCTGAGGTCTCTAAACTTGTACTCGACAGGAGTCTGCCTGTCCTCGTTCTGGTATGACTCGGCTCAGTCTCCTCTATGATCAGCTCATTACCGTCAGGGTCAGTCACAATCCACCACCCATTTTCTTTTTGTACATGAGGCTGCTCGCCCAGATAAGGTAACACTGTATCAATGTCTTTAATTTTAAACTTTAACCGCACAAATTCCGACGGTTTGGGGCATATCTGCTGCAACTGTTTTAGGGAAAGCTGAACGTCAAAGCCGCTTTGAGAATAAATGGTAAAGAAACAAAATCCAGGCGATCCGCTGATGGCTTTCTTCCCGGTTAAAATCTCATAGAACGATCTCATCTGCATAAAGTTCCGCGTAAATATATGAAAACGCAAGTGTTCGTTCCCATAATGCACCGGGCAAACAGACCAGAGCGGAAGCCCGGGAAATGTCTGGTAAAAGTCTTGAAGCGCAGTAACTCGAGGTTTTGCGTCCGCAGGTAACTCTACCCTGTGGTGGAATTTCCAAGGAGGAAAATTGAGTTTGTTTTGGACATCAATGGCTGATAAGCGACCAAACGTCTCGTAAAGAAATAGAACAATGCTTATTGCCTGGCATTGTAAAATGCTGGAATCATTACTTTCATCTGTCCAGGAGTCCAATGCGGCATTGACATCGTTACTTTCATTGATTGAAATGAATTGAAATGTAGGGTCCATTCCTTCGAGAAACGGCAAATAAAGCCTTTTAAGGGAGTTGGCCTCCCCCCTTTTGACGTGTATTTGTAGAGTGCAATTATAAGGGTCAGGAGCCACTTGGAAATTCTCATCCTCTAAAATGTTTTCGTCGAAGCCCTCGTCGTTCGAGGCAAATTCCTCCTCCATATTGATCCAGTCTTTTCTTTTTATTGATGTTGTCTATTTCCCACACCAACTTGAAACATGCCTCATTTGATAATTCTCCCGAGTAATCTGAAATTTAAAGAGAGCAATGGCATCAGAACACTTCTTCAAGAGAACTGATGTAGTTATCTGCATGTCCTTGGTAATAAGAAAAACCCAAAGTGCGACTAGAGCCAGCTAAAGTTACCAAAGTGAGCCAAAAATCAGTTGAAATACTTTGAAATTATGATCGTAATAACTGTGAAGTAGTTGTAATACATTACGCTTTGGTTTTCCCTTACTGTGCTTACGTCAAAGGAGAAAACTATTCGTTTTCGATCTCAACGATGTAACTGGCAGATTTCATTGTTAGGACAACTAAATTGGTGAAATAGCTGTAAAAGTTGAAGCAAAGATCCACTCTTAGAGTGCTATGCAATCGGCTTTCACATGATGCGACTAAAATTTATCGTTCTCACGTATCAGTTTACCTTATTAACTTTTATTGACAGGCACAATTGTTACCCACCCGTTTAAGGATCGTCCAAGTACTTTCAAAAGGGTAAGAAACAGCTCTTAATTCTAAAATTGAGGGCTTGTGATACATGCGTTGCGAAATTTCAAAGCGAGCATTCTATCTGGATACATTAATCCATTACAACTTATCCACCATGGTTACCGCTTCATGCACGCGTTCATTCAGTTGTTTTGGATGCGGACAGTAGTCGTGTAAAACTACTCTCTCTGTCTACAATACATGTATTATGACGTTTCTATCGGAGGGTTAAAGCACTTTGGCTTGCTTTATTTTGGAATCATCACTGAACATGATTTAGTAATAAAAAGTTTTCTACGTAACTAAAACAATGCATCGTCTCTTTTGACGTAAAGATTTAAAATAGATTGGAATAGTACATTTAAGGCCGGGTTTCATATACAGTTATTTCGCCACATGAAGAGCTTAAAACTACTTATCTAAGAGTCTCAGAATCTAAAACGGCCTTGGTTAATCAATTGTACTCTTTTCTAATATGTTTAAATGAATACAGGAACTGTTAATTACATTCTCCTTAATTCACACGTACAATTATCGGATTATTTGCGTTTGGCGTAGAATTCTATTGTGATAACGCATGTCCTTTGTTTACAATGAACTGGTTCAATGAGTTTCGTCATGTCGTCCTTGAAACTCCAGTCTCTGATAAAAGCATTATTTCAAAATATTGGAATAGAGTTTCTTTTAAGTAGCTCAGTAAAATAATGATCGAGACTTACTTGAGTTCTTTGAGTGGCTACCTAAATCTTCGGAACTACTACGTAGTCATTGCTAAGAACCTCCTACACATCATCAAACGTAAAACAAGCTTTGCAAAACTCCTCAAACTCGGTCATAAGTGAGAGATTTACTTTAAAAAGCTTAAAGGTATTGCAATGCGAATGTCGCCGGTTGTATGATGATAAAGACATGAAGCTCAACAAAGTGACTTTCTTTGCATTTACGGAACGAGAAATTGGGAGCACAATTACCCCCAAAACCACAATTTTCAATTCGCACTCGGAGGATCTTATCAGTTTTCAGACGAATCGCAGCTTTGTTTCAGGAATAACTTGTTCAGATATCCGACGAAAAAATATGAAACTCAAGTCCAATGTGTGGTTCAGACCGAGATGTGTTCAGATAGCAAAAAAGATAACTGCATTTGGTAACGACAACCGTCGAAATAAAGACTCGAGCGCTTTACTCCCGAAATGCTGAATGCACTTAATAGATTTTCACACTGTCTTATTGTTTACTACCTTACGACTACAATTTTTTATCAGTACCGATTTATCAGGAAATGGAGTTAAAAAAAATATTTCCCTGCGTAGCAAGTTATATCACGCAATTCATAAAGTAACAAAATCTGATGAAAATAAATGTGCCCTCTTTCGTTTGTTAGATTTCAGATCGATTTACAGCTGTGAGGCTTTCAGATATCTACTAAAAGCAGGTAACATCTTAATTCTTACAAAATTCTTAAATGCCGATTTAGTTGGTAAAGCAAATCCTAAAAGTAATTCCCGAAAAGCTTCTGCATAAAGGGCCGACGCAATAATTTATTCAGTTAGATTTTAAACTGCGCTGAAAAAATCTGAAACTAGATGAGATGTTAAGATGAAAAAGCTAGAAAATCATATTCAAAACAGATTCTGCCTAACAGCTGTCACCTCACAGCACGTGGGAACGCCAACGAAATACTGTTTAGACTCGAGTGAAAAAAATAAATATAAAAACTGACAATACTTTGGTGAGTTTATGCCTTAAAAGACGACATAGCCACGACAATAAGGGTTGGCTAAAAATCAAAGCTTCAATGCTCTCAGTAAAGAGAGAAGAAAAACGCGATCTGAAAAGAAAAATCGACACAGGGTATGGTTTCCTCTCAACGAAACCGCTATACACATCTTCGAGAATTGTAATCGCTTTGCAAAATTTATCAACATAAAAGGAGTTCAGTACATGGGTAAGTACATTCTAAAACAAATGAAGTACCTTGGCGCTTAAGATAAACTTGTAATTTTGTGTACTAGATCTAAACACGACGAAGATCTCCCGAGCGTACGAATAATTTCAAAGAAAACCATGTCTGTAGACGTTTGCCGCGAGACTAATTTAGTTTCGTGCGATTTATTTTGCCAATTTCCCCTTTCCTTGTGGATCACATCACAATCAACTCTAACACTTACCATGGTGTTGAAATATGGCAAGCAAAATCCTCAGTTCCTCTGAATGCTGATCAAGTTTTCGAACGTGGTTCCTGAATTTGACTTTACGCGAGTAGCGAAACGAAACGTTGCCAACTTTTGTACAATCGGCGTTATGCATTAATTAAAAAGAACGCCATTGCCTTAAATAGCCGATGAGAGATGTATTGTGATTATTATATTGTCTCTTCACTCGAAAACAATGCTCATTAAACTCCCTTTAAGTTTTTCCGTGCTGCATGATAAAAGCTTTTCAAGAACGAACAACCAATGAAATGCATAAATATATTTCAATCCTTATGGTAATGTAAAACATTGCAAACAAAGAATTGTTCAGCAGAAGGCATTCCCGCTGAATTAATAGCTAAGGGATTAAAAAAACATACTTTACATATGGACAACAAAGAAATTTTGAAAAGCTACGCTGGATATAAAATAAGTGTGTTTTTTCTTTTATCTTGAAAGTTCTTGATCGACATCGGAAACCAATCAAACACCGCAAACGAAATGCAACTAAAAAAATTAATTCAAAATTATAAAGATTGTCAATCTTGAAAATGACATCTATTGGCATTAAACCGCTACAAGGTGCCTCTCCAGATTTACCATTTGAATAAAATTATTTGTTCGTCTATGAGTTCTTTTAATCTTTTCGGCGGAACTGGGCGCTGAAGCGTCAGAAGCCACCGGATTGTATCTTTGTAAGAAAAATTCACTCATACTATCAAACAAAAACATTCTTCAAGTTCATTTTGTTCGCCTTTCGATGACCGGAGGAAAGTTGCTATAAAAGTCTAATTGACACAGGAAGATTCCTAAATTAAGATTTTTTCAGTGTCTTCAGTACGAGTCCGCTAATATTCGAAATGAGGTATACGAGCATTTACGAAATGAAAAAGCTACTGAAATCGAAAGGGGTAACTGTTTGATGTAAAACTTTAGTTTTAAGTTTCGATCTTCGGTGACAACAAAGAATTTATTAAAATAAACTCACCGAATGTTTCTTGCGTCTTGTGCCAGAACTGGGTCCAAAACTGCGGTTTAGCTAGTCAACGGGTAATAAAGAAAGAAAAGGAAATTCGTGTTCCCATACAGAAGTATATACACGGGAAAAGTGTGACCACGCAATTGCGTCACCAAAAGATATATTGTACCACCTGTTGACGGCGGTAGTTGATGTTCAAGTGTTTATTTCCTGTAAACACAGACTTAAAACAGGTCGAAAGGCCGAGTGAGGGAAGAATCTAATTTTTTAGAATTAGCAATTTCTCTCAGTAAAGTTTGAGTTAAGGAACGATTGAGAGATTAGTACATTTGTACATTAGACAGGTTTGAGGTTTCCCGCCCTCGGGAACGGAAAGTTATATTGAAAACAGATAAATTAACGGAAAATTAACCGAGACGCTGTTTAAGAGGCGTGTCGAGCACTCAAAATATCGAAAAATAAATATCGGAACCGCAAAGTAATCAATTAATATTTAAAATACTCTATGATTCAATTAGACAAATAAATTTGAACAATTTTGCAATTACTTAGTATAAAGGAGTGTTTAATAAACGAATATATTATGATACAATAAACAGGTACATTGGTTTTGTTCGGGCGTAGTTCAAAATCACTGTTCTGAGGAAAGAGGGATTTAATTTCAATAGAATGCTTGAAAAGGACATTGCAAAATTCTCTGGAATGCGTTCTCACAACAGAAAGTAAAGTTCTTCCGCTTTTAAAGAGAAATAATATCAGAAACAAAGTTCATATCGAAATCAGAAATAAAATTGTGTCATTGACGTGAAGACGACGCAAGAAATCGAGAGTTGTCATCGTGATTAAAACGAAATCACCTAAATTAATGTTCAAACTGTTTTATTATCAAAAAGAATGAAAAAAAATTTCCGACAAGTGTTCGATTACGTGATAACTTTGTTAAATGAACAATTAGAAATCTGCCCGCCCGTGGGAATTCGTCAGCAATATTCTTTTGCATTTGTTCTAGATTGTACAGCACACCTCTGCGAAAGTGATACCTATATCAAGCTCTTTCCAAAACAAATGTACTACATACGCCTATACGTATATCTAAATATGACTAAACATTTCTTTCCCTGAGAAGCATTCCTAAAATTGCCGCTTTCTTTGATCATTTCTTTGATCTCCCAACCCCCTTGAGTGACGTAGCAGTTTTCTTCATGTTTGTCACTCTCCCGTGTTCCTCCTCCGCTATTTCCTTCCAAAATAAAAGTACTGGGCCGAGTTGCTTGAAGCACAATTATCTGCGGCTAATCCTGGATTAACCGCCATGGCATTTGGGTTTTTCAAGCAGTTATCCCAAGATCAAAGTTTTATCGCGTTTGGAACAACTCAGTCGGTCTTCTGGTTCGCAGATAACCCTGGTTGTGAGGTATATGAATTTAATGTCCAGAAAAGAAGGCAGAATAAAGAAAATTTGACTATATGAAAATATTTTTTTGACGTTTTTAGTATCAAAAAGCCTGGTATTCTAAATTCAGCTCTAAAAAGTTCTTACATAAGCCGTATATAGCAGCGACTGCTAATTCTGGCTGGAAAATAAAAATTTTAAGGAAAATAGAGTTAATACCCCGCGTCAGTATCACCAGTTTGTTTTGATCGGAGCTAGAATTTTGTCCAGGTTAAATTTTTTTGAACAGGTGGCGTCGAACTCCCTACAAATAAGTGTGAAAACTCCTGGTAAGGATTCTCAAAAACACGCGCCATTTTAATGTAGTTTTGCAGAGGGCGGCAAGGACGTTGTGTGACAAATTTTTAGATGTTTTAGTTACCTTTCCGTATAGTATTGTCTCTTCCATCTCAATATGTGGTAATTCCGGCGTTTCAATTCATTGATGCATGAATAATCATGAGGAACAGAAATGTTGCCGTTCGAGACTGTTTTGACATACTTTCAAACTCAATTGACTTTCATTTACTGTAAGTTTAGATAAAAATGGTCACTTTTTTCAAAGAGGTGCCATATCGAAAACTAAGGTTTTGGAAGTCTTCGAGTTTGATAACAATTTACATTCCCTAACATTGAAAACAAGGTTTACGATGTCAATCGGTCAACCTCAGAGTGTAAGGACCGTATTCCGTTCAGCAAATTCAGTTCTACCAATTAAAAACTTTTTCTGGGGTGAATTACAAACCCGCCTACAAAAAGTGTGTAAACAAGGTTGCGTGAGCAATCAAACTCATTTCAGCTGTTTAAGTGATTTAGATTTAATTGAAATATTTGTGTCTTGTTAAGACAAGGAATCTTTTCTCACCGTCTAACATATGTAAAGTAGTTTTTCACAGATGTCAGTTATCACGAAAAATTTTCAATGAATAGATGAATTTCCACAACGAGTTGTGACTTAGGGAAAGCGCTGCCTTCATCAAGAAAAAAACATGAGTCATGCGTATATTCTTACAATGTCCTGGCAACAGAACCATTTGAGAACGAAGTGCTTGAAAGCTAATTAAGACCGAAGGAAATCGTGCAGTAGATCAGGCATACCTGATTGAACATGTCAGTCGCTTTTTAGTTCGCCAAGTGTTCTCATTCAAGAAAATAAGACCTCTTCTCAGGTAATAGTAACAATAATAATAAAACTTATAATATTAATAATAACAAGTATAGGTAAGAACATGATTACGAGTGCAATCTGGTGTTAATAAGCAACTTTTTCAAAGACTACAAATTGCATGAGCCAGTTGGGCTTGTACAATTTGAAGTCTTTAAAAAAAATTTACAAGTTGCTTATTAACACCAAATTGCACTCGCAGCCATGCTGCTATTTGCTAATAATTTACAGGAAAAACGTATAACAGAGAGTCAAGACGGAAGAAATTTTTGCACTTCTGTCACAACTTTCCAATCGCGTTACTACTTTGAACTCGTGTTACATGAAAAATGCACTTGTTTTCAGCCAATCAGGCGCACGTAATTTTTTCAAGTAAATTATAATTACAATAATAATAATAACTTCATTTCTCTAGCGCTCATATCCTGAGCTCACGGCAATATATGCAAAAGAATAAATATACTTTCTATAGGTATGGAAGTTTGATATATTACAAGTATCAAATCGCTCACAGACCGCATCAGGTTTAAATGATTTTCGCAAGGTAAGTAATAGGCTCAGGTGTTGATATAGCTATATCAGTTTTCTTAGCTTCGAGTTCAAACTTGATCACTCTGTAGCCAGCAAGATCAAATCAAGGTCGTCTATTCAGGAAACTTAAGTATTGACTTTCCGTTAACCTAGATAATAGATTTTTAAGATGAGTCAAAAGGGCTTTACCCTGAAAGATGATGTCCCCCACCATGATAAGTCGCCACTCATGAATCGATGAGAAGGTGTATCCATGCCACTGAACATAAAGAAAATATTCTCTTTTATCGAATAACCACTATTAAAAACCACTTTCCCTGTTTCCATTCAGGTCGAGATGATTTCATTTGGAAGAAAAATACATCATTCTTAGCACAGAAAAGGAAGAAGGTTTTAAAAGCACTCTGTATTTACAAGCCTAGATTGAATAAGATACGGGAACCGGGCCAACCCATTTCACGGCCATCACAACAGGTTTTCCTTTTTCTGAGTAATATCAATTATTAATAAAAGTGGAATTTGAACTCAACTACATCTTGCAAAATAAATCGAATGATCCGACAGTGAAGAGGGCTTTACCTTATCGGTTAACAGGTCAACATAAAAACATTCGCCAAGATTGTGCATAGGAGATGAAACACTAAATTCTTATAACTGAAATGCAAGAAATGGTATGGTGATCAGTGAAGAGGACTTGCATCCACGTCTTCGGTGAAATTATTATCTATGCAACACGACACCTAAGATACAAAATGACCAGATTACATCTTTTGTTGCCGTGTAAATTGTCTGGAGTTAAGTTAATATGAATTGTTTTCATGACCTTTGAACCACGGTGCTTTCGACATTGTCCAGAAGGTGATAAGGCTTTGAGAACATTTTCTGTGACCAGGCTATCTTCTGAATAGCCCGTCAGTGCCTCATACAACTGGCCATCCTGAAGTCTCTCTTTTGTGACATTCAAAAACTTTCGCTATGCTGATACTTATCCGCTAGGCGCGGATTGAAACAAAACAATCCATCCGCTAGTTGTTGTTTACAAACCAACACTGCGACCACTTTTAATAAAATTGGATTTATTGTCCGTCGAGTAGGCTTATAGCCCTTATAAAGATCAAGACGCCCTCACATGCTAATACGTATCCGTTCCGTTAAGCACAGATTAAAAAATATAAAGTGAAGCCACTCAGCCACTCAGCCACTCAATTTATTTGCGAGTTTATGATTACAGGACCATTAAGGAGACCAACGCAGCAGCCACTCCACGAATTGGATTTAAAGTTATTTGAGGGCGCTTACGTAGAAAAAGACGCCCTCGCGTAATATTTGTCACAACTAACCTGTGTTTGGTTTGTATTTGCTCCTTCCTGACAAAAGGTGTCTTTGTTGCAAACCATCTATACATTACATTACTTCAGTGAAGGTTTAAGAAAGCTGCAGACAAAAATGCCTGGAGGGCAACCCTACATCTGTGCAGGTTATCACATTTTAATGAAATTCGCGTTGTAAAATGTCTCCATAGAGGATTATATAAATTTATTTAAGCGTTGTTTCCGTTCTAAGTAACACACCTATATACGTATATTGGTGCTTCAGTGCCCAGCATCTCATCGAACAAGAAGATTCTTATGCTCAGGGTCAAAATTAAATTTTAACGAGGGCCATATTTGCGCGATGCCTCTTTACTTAGCCGCAATATCTCATTAATTTTGATCATAATCTACTTACCTTAATTCGGTTCAACCACACATGAATTAGTGAGTCCTGTCCAACTTGTAATTTGAAGCATGAGTCCGGTCGTTGAAAGAAACTACTGAGAGGAAAAGGACACCCACCACATGCGCAGTCGTTGCTTAACGACATTTCGTCATTTCCGGCGATTTTCAGCATATTTGCTTCCGAAATCTCTTACAACAGGACATTAGGAATATGTTATTCCGTATCCTCATCCCTCCCCATAGATCTAACATTGCCATAAAATGTAACCTTATTTTATATGAGATCAAGGTTTTTTTACCTGAATATCTTACCCATTGCAAACTCATTGGTGTGCATAATACGCGGGGACTGGCTAGACCATGGTAAAAATTATTTCGGAAGGGCCGACGTTCCAGGTGAGGGCTCCACAATGGCAAATATTAGACCTTTAACCTAACGTCTCTGTACCAAATAAAACCACTTGAATTTGAATTGAGTGATTATCATCAACTTAACGTTTGGTGTCAGGCTGAAGCTATGGGCATGATTTCCGATTTTCACGGATAAGCACATGGTCTAACCTTGGTTTTCCAAGAAACGCGCGCAAACTTAGCAAAGGGATGAAAGGAAAGCCAAGATGTGCCAAGCAACTTGACTTAGTTTAGAAATGAGAAGTTTTGTGGAAGTATCCAAAAAACATTTTTTACCGTGAATTCGTTGTGGACTTGACACATACGATACCTGCAATTACCCAGATTCCCCCTTGGTGCGCTAAAGTTCTTTTCTCGCACGTTTGCGTGGAGCGCCCAAAAAGAGCCATGTGTTCAAAGAAAAAATAACTACAGTTTACCCTTGCATTTGAGAAAATTGACCTGGTATATACCGTTTGGCTTTAGATATAAGCTTTTTTCCGAATAATCTTACTTTTTTGGTTATTTTCTTAATTAAAGAGAGTGTAAGGCTAATACTGTGGTTAAACAACTACCTGTAACTCTTATCCTCAGAGGAAATGAGAATTTAGGCGAGTTAAATGAGCTTTTAAAAGCTAGAAAGGACATACTTCAAGTAAGGTGTTGAAGAAGACGATCACCCGGACACACAGAGCACTTAATTCGATAGTATTTGAGACATAAGAAGAAAGGGTCTGACTAACTCAGTATTACATAAAGACGTTAACCCTTCAACCTTTAGCTATGAGTGACTTGCTTCTAATTTCTTCTCACAGTATCGCCCTTGAATCAAATGTAAAGACCGTGAGAGTTAAAGAAATGATCACCGATTTAAGAAGCTCCTGATTGTCAAACGAATTCTCGTAGCCATTACAACAGGAAATGTAGAGAGATCAATGAGGAGGGTAATGTTGGGGTGTAAAGAGTGAAACTAAAAGTCAATAGGAGCAGTTTAACTGAATCGTGTTCGATAAAACGTTTAATAATTTATCTTTTGACAAACAGGATTAGTTTATTAATTATCTACAACAGAACGTTATCATCAATGTCCACACTCGCAGCCCACAGTAATTCTATAGTCATGCAACTCCCAAAAGTCCTCGAATCTTGGTGTCCCTGTGCTGGAGATCACCCGTAAACACTGGCCTTCCTTCTTCTTCAGTACTTTGATTGTGTAATACTTCGGCCGACATCTGAAGTGATCGAACCAACACTTATCAGTTGAACACGTGACTGACCTCACGTGACGAGGGAAATATTTTGGGCCCAAGTTTTTCCAAACTTTACTCGTCTGGCACGTCCAGGGGGCTGGGTCGGTTATCTCCTCCACGGTGAGTGAATTGGATCTTTTGGTAATGTTACGTTTGGTCACGTGATATTGATTTTGTGGTGGTAAGTGGTTTTGAAGATCCGTGGAGTCCATAGCCATGTATCGGTCATTGTAAGCGGTGCCGAGCCGCTGTCTGAGTAAATCCCGTTTGACGGGCTGGCAGTCTTTGTCTTTTTTGGGAAGGGAAAACACAGTTGCGCCAGCGGCTGATTCAAATGTCACCATAATCAGGCCTATTGTCAAAAACGGCCATAGCTGCAAATAGAGGAAGGAATATGAGTGATGCTAATAGATCGATCAACTCGATTATGGTGATGTAGGTGGTTTGTTATAGACCACCACTTTGCATCTACGCAAGGAATTTCTTGCGATATATAGAGTATGACAAAGCAAATAAACAGAACAGCTTTAGATAAACAGTCTTAACAAGCAACGAAAACACGTCTTCTTAATCGATTCTATATATTATTACACCGAACGTGGCGGTAAGTTACATAATCCAAATTTGTGACTAAACCACAAAATAGAACATCACTAATGCACTGTCATATCGACGTTTACTTTTCACCGCCCAGAAAAAGGCAGCATTTTATTAAAAAATTATTAATCTTCGAGTAACGTCCATAGATTGTGGCTGTATCCATAAAAAAAAAAATTTGTAAGATGCGAAATAAATTCTCATCGTTGCGGCCAAAGTGACGAACACCGGTGTCCTCGTTATTTTTAGAAAGGTTTTACATTGCTGCGGTATCAGGAAACGCACAGCTTGTTTTATTTACTTTAAGAGGTGCTCTACCTGCCCATAAGCTATTGAAGACAGATCTCCAGCTAATGTCAAAATATTTTTAGCGATAGATTTAAAACCGTAGAGAACTCATACAGGTATGCAATCTTATTAAGGCACGGAGGTGGTTCTCTATTTGACAAGAAAGATCACGTCAATCTTAGGTTCGTAGTTTATTTCCTTGTTGGGCACGAATACTGATGTCCACCGCGGAAATCTCTGACCGATAACACTGAAATTCCGGTGCAAGATTTGCCCAATAATTTCAGTTGCGATAAAATCATCATTACTCGCAGTTTGTAGACAAGAATAACAACTCCTGTGTGAAAAGGTCTAGAAGGCCGATTCAAAGTTTAGTTGTTTTATGGGAATAAAAGCAGAGATAACAAAAATAAAAAACGAGTTTTAGACCACTTCCAAATGCATCTTACTGAGACCAATTCTTACGTGGTTTTGGCATCATAATAGAGTACGTAATGGTGAGAAAGTTAAATGTTCATGTTCAGGATCTTCAACAAACTTTCACAATTTTGTCGGTACGATGGGCAATAATTACAGGAAATTCGTGAATCCGCGTGAGAGGTTTCCCTTCATCTTGTTCCCGTTTTCCTAAAGTAGAAATCTACTAGATATTCCATGGTCACCATGCGCAAAATGGCCTACTAATTTGCTCAACTTATAGCTTGTAAATCTACTGCATGAAATCTGTTGTTAATAAATTGTTGATTTGAGGTGACTTTTCAGTGCTCACAGGAAAAAACTTCCTCATTCACTTACACTTCACTAAGTTCTTGTACCTTTTGACCCTGAGATGTGAAGTTGAGCACCAGAACCATTGTAGAAGTCCAAGTTAAGCCTGCCGAAAAGTTTACTTGAAGTAAACTTTCCCTACGCGTGCAAGACTTGACTAAAACGAAAAACGCCTCGAGCTCCTTGTTACTTGAGGATTAGGAAACACTGACGCAGCAAGACGACATATTGTGGGCTTATGTCGGTAAAGGAGCGGTTAGGGAGGTCCCCTAATACGTGAGAAAACGCATAAAAGCGAACAAGCATTGTTCCGAATTAAGGCGATCAAAGCTGTCGTGAGCAGAATGTTGGCATGCCATTTGGAGAAGATACTTCAGTTGATTTTGGCACAGCTTACTAATTGTAAATTAAGAGAGATGAAGAGGCACCTAGAGCTTCTTAAGCCTAAAGATAAACAATATGAAAGTAATAGCAACGAAAATAACTTTTTTCCGGAGATTAATACAGCACCAAGACTTAATTAAGGTGTGGATCACTATTACACTGCAGAGGAGATATTTTAGCATGTTCCGATTTTACTTTATTGACTTAAAGCATGGACAAAGAAATTTGCCGTGTCAGGCTACAGTCATTTTGCATTGTCCCGTTGTAGAAAAAGTTTCGAGAAATGCACCCGAGCATCTAGCTCGTCATCAGCGTCTGGAAGCTGGCGAAAATATTATGCAATCATGTACTGTAAAGGGCACATGAACTGCTCCGTTTACAAGACAGTCCCTTACCATTTCATGGGCAATAAATAGTTACAGAATGATCAGATTCTTGGTAAATAATCATAAGTTTAGAGGATCTGCAAATAACCTTTTATTAATAAAGTGTTAAAGAGATGAGATTCCTTCTTGGAATATATAAAAAGACCTCCATGAGAATTGAGTAAACTAATGTGAAATCTAAAAGGTTCCCTTAGAAAGGAAGAAAGTAAAGGAGAAACATTTAATTTTTATTTAAGAATTAATATAGATCTTTGGAAATGTTAGTCAACTTTATGAAATAAGCCATCTGCATGTGATACCATTTTAACAGTAAATCGTTGAGGTCAGACCCTATCCAATAATAAAACAAAAAACAATCGACCTCATCGTTTTACTTCTAATTACATGAACGCTTTATAAGTTCATTCCAACATTTCACCTTTCACAGAGAATTTTCCAGATTGTGACTCTGTGGGATGCAAACCGCGAACTAATCTGCTTATAGCGTTTGTGCTGCAATCCATTTTTCTTTTCACTGGGAACTACAGTCGATGCTTGCTCGAAACAATGATCGGCTCTAAATAAAATCTATCTACACTAAAGAGGAGACCTAATGTAAACATCATCGATCCATATGCTTCACACGAAGATTAGACTGTAGTTAAATAAAAGTGAAAGCACTTCTCATTTCTAAAATCCAATTTGTCCTCTTCTACAATTTCCAACGGAGCAAATGCATGACCTCCATGGTTGTATCGCACGGATTTGAGATCGCACAGGAGTGTAAGAGTAACGTCATAAGAACCAAAAATACAATTAATGTACCTTTTTTTTTTTTTGTATTGATCATCGTCCAATTTTATGTTATTGCACAAGCTTTGATAATCTTTGGCTGATAAATTGGCCATAGTTCAGTTTGCTCTAATGAAAACAGCTTATTAACATCGTTTTCCGGCGTTTATTCTTAGTTCATCTGTTTCCGTAATCGTAGAATAAGAGTGTATTTATGCGATCATTTTGACTTTTGGAAATACAGTAAGAAATTGATGATAATTCAGAAAGAAAGAAAGGAATGATGTTAACTCCGCTTCAACAAGAAAGGTGGAAAACGATCTGCAAAGGACACGGTACTTATTTGCAAATTTTTGACCAGAGTGCAGTTAGAGCATATGAACTTTTACACAAACATTCCTTGATCGATACATCATAATTCAGTTGGCAGAGACAACAAAGCTCTTACAAGTACTTGTAAACTGAATGACATGTAATGAGCTTACAAGAAAGCGATTAAATCACTCTCACCTGGAAATCGTTCGCCATGATTGTGGACACCACGACGGTCATTTATGTACATGTAAACCTGATTTTATAAACTGCCCCAACCTCGTCCGTAAAATTATTTATATCTTCGTTATCTTTCGCATTTTCCGTGATATTATTTGGTTGTTATTCCGACAATGAGTTAGGGTAAACAAAATTACGGATGTTTGGGATGCTGACCCCTATCTTCACCCAGGTTCAAGATATCAGCCACAGGGTTACTTGAAATAAATGCGGTTCCCTTTTGCGTGAAACAGAACAGCCTGGCGTCTAGTGATTTATCACAGTGGGCAGAAACTTGTCACTCTTTTGATTTAGGGTTCCTGCTGTTAATCGCCTGTGGGTGTGACTTGGGTGCGTCTAAGATTTGCCCTCGCAATTCGCTTATCTTTCCGAGACTTTCTCCTAGTTATTCCAACTACGCATCATGAATTCTAACCCGTCAGTTAAATCGGGCAAAACGGAATGTTCGTAATCATTTCATGATGTAAACTTCATTTTTCTGGCGGTTATGTGATACTTAACAACTTATGGGTCCCGCTATTTTATCAATCTCCTCAGTTAAAAATGTTTCGCAAGTAGTTGACTTTGGAAAATTGACAGATTGAATGAGAAATGAGTACTGACAGTACTGTGGCATGAGAAAATTATCGATGAACTTTCGAGGTACAGTTATCGGTTGAAAATCAGTTGACGTACTTTCTTCGGTGGGAGTATAGGCCACGCATTTAAATATGCAGCCTAGGTGTATGTAACTCCTCCATAAAAATGCATCAAACTTCTGTCCTTTCCTCAACTGATAACGGAAGAAATTAAAGTTCCTATAGTTATATTAATTTAGTCAACATTTGGTTGAAAAGACGTGAAAGACGGAAAAGGTGATGCGAACATCATTCGTTCGTTGTCTCGCAGAGCTGGGCCGGAGGAAGTTTCCTCAACAAATATTATCTTCATCGTCTGCTTGGTTTCATAATCCAAAACTACAAATACTTATGTCAATATCATTGATCTCAAGAATTTGCAATTTCTCTCGTTTTTTCATAACATTTCTGATAGTTTCTGATAAGATTACCGAGATGTAACAATCTTGAAATATTTTCACCATATCGAAATGCTGTTGTCATTGCTACAGAGGTAAAAATTTCTCGATTGTAATTTCAGGACAAATCTGAGGCACAGAAATTAGTCTATTCGCTTCTCTTTGTATCCAAAACAAAATCTCAAAAGGTTCTGAACGAACATTCCGTACCTTTGTTCACGTGCAGCCTTCGAACTCTTATCAAATCGAAAGCAAACCAGTTCCCCCAAAAGATCACGTTACCTATCCTTTTCCCTCTAGTACAATCTTAACATCATTTAGATGACATTAACGTGACATTTCTTGTGACTAAATTAAAACAACGTCCACTTCAAGCAAACAGATGGAACGTAATAACGAAAAAATGCACTCGCTTTGTAATATGACTTTCTCTTTCCTGTGTCTCGACTTTTGAGATTTCTCGTACGTTCTGCACAAGTAATTTAAGCAATGTAGGCTTATGACACCATTTGTGACTATCATCGCTATCATTATACACGTGGCATTTGTAAAGGTGATTCTAGGTCATATTTAATCTGTTATAAAAAAAAATAAACTGATAACTTAGTAGAGA